ATCTCAAGTCAGGGTACCACCAACTCGAGATTCGCAAGGAGGACCGCTACAAGACCGCGTTCAAGACGCGATATGGGCATTTCGAATGGCTGGTCATGCCATTTGGCCTTACGAATGCCCCGGCCATTTTCCAAGCGGCTATGACAACGGAGTTCCGACACATGCTGGATCGATACGTACTTATCTATCTCGACGACATCCTGGTGTACAGCCGGAGTTTGGAGGAGCATGTGGAACACCCGCGCACCGTTTTGGAGTGGCTACGACAGGCCAAGTACAAAGCCAACCACGACAAGTGTGAATTCGCGCGGCAGGAGCTGGAGTACTTGGGCCATTATGTGACGCCCCAAGGCATCCGTCCGCTCGCGGACAAGATCGAGGCCCTACGAGTATGGCCCGAGCCCACCAACACCACGGACCTTCGTTCATTCATGGGATTAGCGGGCTACTATCAGCGATTCATCACCGGATACTCCAGGATTGCTGCACCTATGACGAGGTTACAGTCGCCAAAGGTGCCATTCCTATTCGATGACGACGCACGCCAGTCATTCCAAGCACTTAAGACGGCCATGCTCATGGCACCCGTCCTTAGCATCTATGACCCCACCTTGCCGACGAGAGTGACTACGGACGCTTCCGGCTATGGCATTGGGGCAGTCTTGGAACAGCACGACGGCGACGACTGGCACCCTGTGGAGTATTTCAGCCACAAAGTGCCTCCCATCAACTTGCTTGATGATGCAAGGAAGAAGGAGCTACTCGCGTTCGTCATGGCTCTCAAGCGCCGGCGGCACTTCCTCCTTGGGCGTCGTAGGTTCACATGGGTCACAGACAACAATCCATTGACCTACTACAAGACGCAGGACACGGTGAGCAGCACGATCGGACGATGGATGTACTTCATCGACCAATTTGACTTCACACCGAAGCATGTCCCCGACCTCTCCAATCGCGCAGCAGATGCACTCTCGCGAAGACCTGATCTTTGTGCTATGACACATCATGCCTTCGCATTCGACGAGGAGCTTCAGCGACAGTTCATCCGGGCATATGAGTCTGATCCGGACTTCGGCACGCTCTATGCACAGCTATCTTCGGATCACCCGCCGGCCAGCCACTACCGCATTGCCGACCAATACTTGCTCCTCCACTCGAGAGGCAAGGACTTACTATGTGTCCCACGCGACCGTCGTCTTCGGACTCGCCTCCTCGGTGAGTACCATGATTCACGACTCGCTGGCCATTTCGGAGTCAACCGCACTATTGCACGGCTTCGACAACGATTCCGATGGCCCGACCTCATTACCGATGTCACTCGGTATTGCGACTCTTGCAAAGTTTGCCGACGCAGCAAGCCCCGCAACCGCAATCCCTACGGCGGGTTACACCCGATGCCTATCCCACGGGAACCCGGTCTCTCCATTGCCATGGACGTCACCGGTCCGTTTCCTCGCGACCGGCTCGGGCACGACGGCATCCTCACGGTTGTGGACCGATTGAGTAAGTACGCGCGTTTTCTCCCTTGCAAGTACTACTCCACGGCTCCCGAGCTGGCACGCCTCCTGCACACTGGTTGGATTTGTGGCCACGGTGTACCAGAAGACATTGTC